TATATGTATATACACGGAAACATGATTACGTTTATATATAGGATTATTAACGGTACGTTTATAAAAACTGACTTTTTCCCTCGTTCTGTAAAATGACTTTGAACAGCCAGCCAAACAACAGTCGATCCAGCCAGTCATCTATGCCCATAGGACGATTTGGCAGCCGTGACGCAGGTAGGACCGCGAACGTTAAGAAAGTTGATGAAAGTTTGCCAATGCAGCTTGGGGGCTTGAAATACGTATCTTATAAAACGCACGGCAGAAAGTCCTCCGGCATCTCGATGAGTCTTAATAAGGGTTTAAGGACTTTGGCAGTCGGCAGGGCAGTTAGCAGCCGCAGGCTTTCAGCGAACGGCCTCTGCCGAGGAAGGTCGCTGGTGGCACGCGTTCGCTTTCCAGGCCACTCAATTGAATAGCCAGCAAAGTCCTCTCGTTAATTCTGCATTGCAAACCTTTTGCCAGTGCCAACTCGATTCGAGAACCATTTAATTATCCAACGTTTGTTCGTGCCTATCGATTTGCCGCGTCGAAATGCCTTTAGCAGCGACAGTGGCGCCACAGGGACCTGTAATCGGTTTGCCATTTTCTATAGCCTCGTGTAACACGGGTCTGTAATACGCTACGAATATATTCGTGAGGAGGACTTTTAATTATATCAGCTGTACATAATACATAGAGACCTTGAAACCGTATTATCGATATCCCATAGGAGTCAGGCTGCGTGACGCTTACAGTTTGAATGCACTCAGGGAGCGTCCAGTAAAAACAATAAAGGGAGTCAGACTGGATGAAACATTCATACCGTATAAATACGTTTTAAGGGCTTCTATTTGTTGGGTTAGGCTAGAAAACAGTTGCTTTGATATTTTTTTCTAAGTCATTTTTCCCATCGGCAAAAGATTGACGAGGCGCTTGGAGGTTAGGTTGGGTTAGATTACGGAAAGCGGATTACAAGTAGGTTGCGAAGGAGATGCAGTGTTTGCAAGCGAAGCTTATTTTACATGGTGCAAGAGTGCGCACCCGCACGCTTTTATCTACGTGTATATCTTTTCCACCCCCCGCGTCCCCCGCGGCAAGTGGGAAATAAAGGCAAACATTGTGATATCGAGGGGTGATTGGGCGACGCGTGCTCGCGCATGTTTAAATAGCATTAAGGTCTCTTGGCGAGATTATAAGGAGGGAAGAAAAGTGGAGAAGCCCTTTAGGAATTAAATATTCGTGCCAGCCAGTTGCCAGGGCCGTGCCAAAATTAATTTGGCCCCAAGACGCCAAAATTCAACGATATTTCTTACGCCGTAGGATACAAGGCGTCTTTCCATTATTCCCTTGTACGCTCACTTGAAAAGCAGCCTTCTCGCACGTTCCCAGGATGACGCTCCTTTCTATGGACACCCATAGAGGCAACGAGGACACATGCTCGGTAGGGATTGCCTAATGGTCAAAGAGGGATGGAATTTTACTTGGCTCCTAAACCTCTTTGACCTCTTTGTGTCCGGTTCGCGTTGTTTGCCCTTTTACGCCATTTTACTCTATCATCGATTGACCGCTCTGGAAAGCTTCCCATTAGCTACCGACCTACGTGTATCGGCGGGCAAAAGGCTTTTCGAAAAAAAAGCCTCTCAACGCAGTAGACCCACCTGTCCATTTTTTTTTATTTTTCCACTTTTTTTTCGCAATTTTCCTTTTTTCGCCCCATCCTCCACACATACTTATCGCCCTCGTATACTCCGGGTGTAAAATGACGCAATCCCCCCTACTCGCTTCGAGAGGATATTACAGATTTATACCCATGCTATATGTATACCTGGCCAAGGGTGCTCGAGACTAAGGACTTATTTTTTCTGAAGGTCAGGCAACTTCAGGATACTCGAAATTTCGTAGACGAATTTAAAACTGGCGATGGATCTTTCGTGAAAATTATTTTCTTTCTCAAAATCGACGAAATTTTCTTCACAGATTCCCCTCCCCCTCGCTCCCTGCTCCAGCGTTTATAATACAGTCGCGAATTGCGCATTGTGGAAACTCCAGTAAGAATTATAAGGAGGAAGCCAGCAGACGCCGGATGCAAATGGGAGAAGAAAAAAGAGTCCGCCGCGACTTTCATTACCGCACGCTTTCATTCGGTTTACCCGAAGCGCCGTTGCCAACGGGAATCCTTTGTGCGTTGGGATATGAATGGCGAACGAAACTCACTGAATCGCATTGAATTGGATAAGGCGCAGCGAGATACTTCAGATTCACGCATCGCTTCTGTCAGATAACCGACTTCTTCGTCTTCTCGATTCTTCGGGCAGCCAGCCTGACAATCTCGTCGACGATAAATAACGAAATTTCTTTTTATCATCGGCAGTCGTTATCGCGTATTATTCCCGCGGCGGAGGGGCAAGGGGGGCACCAAGGGAGAAATTTAAGAAGAACCCGGGTTTCCCTGGGGGACGCGACAGCGACTTTACACTAAACGTGTTTTCCGTATTGAGTAAATGAACCTCGTCAATTATACTTAGGGAACTCACCTCGTCTTCTCTCTCTCTCTCTCTCTCTCTATCTCTATCTATCTATCACGCTCCCTCTCTTCTCTTTGCTCTTGTAGTACGAGACCACGTGGAATTAATTAAATAAATGGTGGCGCGCATAATAGAGGAGCGAGACTGTAATTGAGAGGGTGAACGGAATCGCTGGGGATCTGTGGGGGTCTGGGCGGAGAGGGTGGGTGTGGTCCCTTGTAGGGGATGGACCAGAGAGGACTGATAGAATGTTTTTTTTTTTTTTTTTTTTTTTTTTTTTTTT